CACACATACACACACACACTCTATCCCCTAACATTTAGTAAACTCCTTGAAGGTAAGTGTTTCATTCTTGTCTCGGAAGCCCCAGTGCCTAGCCTCTGGTGCTCAATAATAGTTTCATTGAATTGAGGAGGATGGTGGAGGTTGAGTTATTCACCCACGTCTTTAATCTGATTCAGCTAACCAATGGAAGAAACGAAGCCATTAGTATCTGCCCAAGGATGCTTGATGGCATCTTTTCATTCCTCTGTCAAAGTTCGTCCTTGAAAAGTTTCTTCTTTCATAATAACCTTGATTTGAGGAAGGAGGGGAGTTTCAGGAAGGGTCAGCGAAGACTTTCATGTCTTTTGCCTGAGTCCTCTCTCCTGTTTTCAATTTCCTTTTCTTCCACCTCTTCTTTTGCTTGTTAATATAGCTCCCTGTCTGTGGAACACCATCTCTTCATGCCACGTATTTTGAGTGTTACAAAGAGATATTGTTAAAAATGATGGTAATTATAGTTTGGTTTAATATAGCTTGAGACAAGACAAGATAGCTTCCCAGAAGACAATGTCTTCTATCAGAGGATCTCACAATGGGGAATAGGTGTCATTTTTGCTCTCACTCTTTTGAATGGGCTTTCTTAGATCTTCCCCTTCTATTCTCTATCACATCTTACATTTTTTACCTTTACATTTGAAAAATGAGTCAACTTCTTACAAGCAGACACATCTGTCTGCCGCTCCCAGCCTTCCCCAGCTGGGAGCAGAAAACCCAAAGGGTTCTGGAATCGCCATGCTCCCTATGACTTCATTGACCTCCCATTTGGAGAATGCCACTCTGCCTGCTACTTTAGACCCGGCTTTAGAAGTTATCACATGGCCTAAAAATAATTGGTTGGCATTGTCTCCTGCTAAATTTGTATCCTTTCGAAACGTGGAGAGAGAGAGAGAGAATTTCTAGATTCACTCCTTTCATCCCGGAAGTTTGGTCCCATGCCTGGGTCAGCACAGACTCAAGGGCAGCCTTTAATAAGCACCAAGAAACTTCTACAGGAAGGCTTTCCCAATCCCTCTTCATGCTAGTACTTTCCACTCTGTTATTTCCTATTTATCCCATACATCACTTGCTCGTACACAGCTGTTGCATGTTGTCTTCTCCATTAAATTGTGATTTTTTTTCCCAAGGGCAGGACTGTCTTTTGTCTTTTTTCTTTTGTATCCCTAGCATTTAGAATAGTGCCGGGCACATAGTAGGTGCTTAATAAATGTTTACTGACCACTTATTGTCTTGGGTGATCACGGTTGCAGACCCAAGATCCTGCTCTTGGGTAATCTTAGCAAGACTACCATTGATGTGACACAAACATTTTATAGGATTGTGGGATTCCTGGGTGATCTCATATCTTAACCTCAAAAGCCCTCAACCCATTCTCAGCTCTGGCCAAACCCCCAGGCTAAGCCTTTAGTTATGCTTTGGCCTATCAGACCAAGCTGCCTTGCTAAGGGTGAGATGGTCCCCAGATGGCTTGTCTAGGACTGAAGTATGAAGGCAGCAGGTAAACTTGGGTTCAAATCCTGCCTAGTCGTGTGATCCTGGACGTTATCTAAGGGAGTGCCTCAGTTTCTTCTCGTCTTTAAAATCAAGAGCTTAGACTAGGTGGCTTTCAAGGTTTAGTTTCTAAATCTAGAATTTAGAGTTTTTCAAGACCTTTAGGCTCTGAATCTATGACCCTGTGTCAGAATCATTTGGCCCCAAATGTTACAAAGTTTGACAGTCCCAGATGCTATACACAAAGGTAACTAATTATGATACTCAGTGACCTATGAGAGACAGTGTATTATAGTGGACGGTGAGGGGCTGGGGGTGGAGTCAGCAGACCCTTGAGCTCAAATCTTGCATTTCACAACAGCTGTGTGACCACATAAGTCACTTTAAAAGTCCTGTGCCTCAGTTTCCCCACTTGTAAAATGGGGATAATAGCATCTGTAGCTTTTGCCTCACAAGGCTGTTACGAAGATCAAATGATACCACAGATACAAAGGGCTTTGCAACATTGAAAGCATTATTTAAGTGTCAGTGATGAGCATTACAGGCTCAGGCTGTCCTTGGCCTGTTGGACCAGGTAGGCTAATCCAGGCACAGGAAAGTCATGGAGTAGGGTTGAGATACTTTCTCCCAAGACCCCAGGAAGTCTCCTGGGACAGAGCCAGGGCTGAAGGGCCAATAGTGTTCTCTCAAGCCTGTGGTGAGAACAGCCAGAAGGCACTTCCCAGGAGTGACTGCTCTATCAGGTAGCCAGAGGCTGCTGCCCCTTCATCTGGACAGCTCAGACTTCAGACCAACTTCACACAGCCCTGTAGTTAGCTTGAATTTAAAGAGCCCTCACTGGATCTCCTAGGACACCTCCTCCCGGGTCCATACTGTCTGCCAAGCACCCACCACCTCCTACACCAGGTAGCTACGTGTCATGGTCCTCTTTGAGAACAGAAGATGAGCACAACAACAAAGTCTGGAGCTAGGAAGACCTCAGTTCAAATCTGGCCTCAGATACTTATTAGCTGGCTTCTTTTGCCTCAGTTTCTTCATCTATAAAATGGGTATAATAATAGCACCTACCTTCCAAGGTTGTGCTGAGGATAAAATGAGGTAACATTTGTAAAATGCTTAGCACAGGGCCTGATACATAGTAGGTGCTTACTAAATACGTATTTCCTTCCTTCTTACATAAGGACTTTACTGATCCCTCCAGCTACTAGTGCCTTCTCTCTAGACTGTCTTGTATTTTTTGCATATATTTTGCATGTCTGTATGTGTATACATACACATATATCTGCACATATATGTTGTATATGTTATCAAAACAGAGTGTCTTAACTTGGGAGTCTGTAAACTTCTTTAAAAAAAAATCATTTCAATACAACTTATTGGCAGCTACATGGCACAGCAGATAGAATGCCTGACCTGGAGTCAGGAAGACATGAGTTCAAATCTGGCCTGAGACACTTGTTAGCTGTGTGATCCTAGGCAAGTCACTTAACCTCTGTATTCTTCAGTTTTCTCATCTGTAATATGGGGATAATAATAGCACCCACCTCTCAGAATCATGGTGAGGGTCAAATGAGATATATTTGTAAAGTACTTTCAGACATTAAAATGCTGCATAAATATTAATTATAAACTGGTTTCTTTCCATCATCATCATAATAATAGCTAACATTTATGTGGTGCTTACTATGTGTCATACACTCTACAATTATCTCATGTATTTCATTTTATACATTTAAACACATTATTCTGAAAAGGGATCTGTAGGCTTCACCAGACTGCCCAAAGGGTCTATGACACAAAACTAACTTACCAAAGCTTGTTTTAGAGTATAAGCATCTGGAGGACAGGTGCTCTAGCCTCTAGGACACCTCATGCCCTCTTCTCTACCTGAAGAGGAAGACTCTATGAGAGCTGTTATTTCTCTTAGAAACAAGCATCGATACCCTTCATTTTAGCACCCCATTAGATCTGAAAAGTGGAAAGGACTACTCTCCCAGTGGGAAGAATGATTTGCTAAGCAGATCTAGCCCCTCGCAAAATGGTAAAGTCAACAGACCTTGTGTTGGAAGCCACTTACCTCCTTCTTTATGTTCTATTTCCCTTTGCAGTGAACTGTTTTCACCAGAGCTCTCAGGCACTCATGATACCCTCCTTCCTAGATCACGAAGACCCAGATCTCTGATGGATGCATTTAGAATGAAGGTGTTGGGAGCTGTTGGTGTCTAGGGTCTAGCCCTGCTCACAGGTGAAGTGAAATTTGACCAGCAGGTGGTGCCAAAGAGTCACTTAGAGTAATAGTGATTAGAGATACAGAAAACCTGTGATAAGAAGTAATGCATCTAGTAGCTTCCTAAGATGAGTCAGGGTAGAATCAGGAGTGGGGAGAGTCGGCAGAAGTCAGCAATGTGAGTCCTACAGCTGACAACAAGGCGTGAGCCACACAGGATAGACACCAGTTGATGAGAGTCTTTGAAAACCCCTCCAGCAGTTTTCCTGACCTGTCCGGGTACAGAGTGTTGATCCAGCCTTTAAAAACCTCTTGTACATCTCCTTCAGATAGATAGAGGTCCCAAGGTCATTTTAATTCCCAAGAAGGGTGGCAATGAGGGTCCTGATGGGCTGCCCAAGACCCTCTAGAGTCCAGATTGGGGGAGATGGAGGCATTCAATGGATTTGGGACCCAGAACCCATGACTCCTCTCTGCTAACTATGGAACTGCATGGAAAAGGCAGCTGTGTTGACTTTTGAGAAGAAAATTCTTCACCTAAATGAATGCATTTCTTATGGTGGGATTGTAGGCATCAGTAGGGGAACTCTTGGCTGCCTTTCTGGCACGCCTAAAACTGAATCATATGACTGACTGCCTATTCTACTTCCCCAGAAAATCAGAATTTAAGGAGTATCTTCCTGCATCTGGGAAAAGTTGTTTTGCTGTGAAGTTTAGGCAAAAATATGAACAGCTCTGACTATGGGTCACCCAATGGCTTTTTAAGAGAACAGAGCAAGGAAATAGGGCAGGAGGACAGCCCAACTCAAAGTGTGAATGAAAAGCCAAAAGCAGATCATCATAGGCTCACAGTATGTTCTAGCTATAAGGACTTTAAAGAACATCTTGGGGCAGCTAGGTGGCACAGTGGGTAGAGCACCAGTCCTGGAGTCAGGAAAACCTGAGTTCAGATCCAGCCTCAGACACATAACTCACTAGCTGCATGACCCTGGGCAAGTCACTTAACCCTGATTGCCTCACCAAAAAAAAAAAAAAGTCTTGTCTGGCTCCTTCAGAAAACAGACTCCTTCAGGCATGGAACACAATGTTCAAAGGGACTTTTGTGAAACCAGTTGACCACAGAAAAGAGAAAGACTTTCTGGACCTTCTCTGCCTCCATCCCAAAGTTAATGACTCCACTTAATGTTTAATGATTAGCCTTCCAACACTTTTAAATTTAATCTGAAATAATTGATATTTTCTCCATTGCTTTCTTAAGTCTAGACAATGAACAATACAATAATTAAAACCTGAATTGTATCATCAGCTGATTTTTGAATTATAAAATCATCACACTGAAAATTTAACAATCTGCTCTTGCTAGCCAATATGAGCTGGCTCCAAAACACCCTTGCATGTATCACACAAACCCCCATACGTATGTGTGGTGAGATCTGATCCTCTAAAATCACATCTGGGACTCTGCCTCCTTCCCACTCCTGAATATTAGCTCAAGGTCCTAGAAGTCCCCAGGGGAAAATAGATTTCTGAGCTTGCTTCAGGGGTCATTCAGAGATCCACATATCAATCATCCAGGAAGAATACATATATCCACAAAAACTAATACACACTAAGGTTGTCATGGCACAGCCACAGGTTAAGCAAGACCTTGGTCCCATAGAAGTGAAACTGAAGACTTTATACGTACTATAATCAGAAAATCCAAGTTCAAAATTTCCATTATTCCATTTGGAGTAAGGAAAGGAATCTCCCCCCTCCCCAACATCCCCACCTCCAGAACACTCTGTCTTTGTATTTAATTTAGTCTCAACAATGGCTGAAATTTTAGAAAGAGTACAATGAACTACAGAACTACCAGGTAGCAGAAATACTCAAGATCTACAGTGTAAAAAATGTGGCAAGATTACATTGTAAATATCACAATTGCAAAATAAAGTGAAATTATCCACGATCCTTTCTAGCCTATTAACATTCAATATCTTCAACCTAAAAGTAATAGAAGTTTTAAAAAAATACCACAGAGGCCCAGGGTAGGTATCCTGTTAACGTTATCTCTGGACTTAACCCACCATCCTCCTAGTCAGATAATAAGTTAGTATAAATAGTGAGCTGGGGGCCATAGCAGAACATGCGTGTATGTGGCGGGGAGCGGGGAAGGGGAGGGGAAGTTGGATGCTGGTCAAATGGGAGGCTGGCTGGTGGGTGCCTCTTCCTCTTTTCCCGCCTCTTCCCTTCTCATACAAAGCTCTCTTCCATGTTTGCACACAGAAGGAAGGAGTCCACCAGCCGAGGCTTGACAAGTTGCTGGAAGTCGGTGTCCTGGAGGCCTTCTGGGCAGACTGCTGCCAGGGTGCGCAAGGCAGCCTTACAGGAAAGAAAAGAAAAACATTCAAGGTTGATGAGAGAGACATACGGTTGGAACCAGCTAACTGTCCATTCTGACCGGTTATTTCTCGTAATTGCCATAAGCGTCCCAGATTCCTGGGTTATCCCAGCTAGAAGGGACCTTGGTTTCCATTTAATTCAATTCAACAAGTGTTTATTGTATACCTACGGTGTTCCAGGTCCTGGACTAAGTACTGGGAATACAAAAGACAAAAACAAAAAAATCGCTATTCTGAAGGGGTTTATATCGTACAAGCGGAAACTGCTTTACAGGAGTAAGTGAAAACAAGATACATACAAAGGAAATACAAAACTGGCAGGGAAGCTTGGTGGTGAGGTAGATAGAGTGCCAGACCTGGAGTCAGGAGGACATCTTGAATTCAAATCTGGCCTCAAACACTTACTAGATGTGTGACCTTGGGCAAGTCACCTAATCCTTTTTGCCACAGTTTCCTCATCTGTAAAATGAGCTGGAGAAGGAAATGGCAAACCACTTCAGTATCTTTGCAAATACTGGGGGTCACAAAGAATCGGACATGACTGAAAACGACTAAAGAACAACAAAATAAAAACAAAATAATTTCAGTGAGTGAGGAGGAAATCAGGAAAGACCTTTAGGAGAGAGCACGTGAACTGGGATTCAAAGAAAGCTAGAGATTCTATGAGGCAGAGGCAAGAAGGAAGAGCCTTCCAGGAGGGGGGCACAGCCTGGGCAAAGGCTTGGAGATGAGAGATGAGACGTCATGTATGGAGAACCTGAAATAGGTCAGTCCAGCCGGCGTGCAGCATATAGCATGGAGAGAAACATCTGAATAGTCTGGAAAGCCAAGTTAGAGCTGGATTCTGGAGGGCTTTCAAAGCCAGACAAATGACTTTGTGTTTCATTTTAGCAATAAGGAGGGACTGAAGTTTCCTGAGCAGAGGAGTGACATGGACAGCCCTGGCCCTGTGGAAAGAACACTAGCCTTGGAGTCAGGAGGCCTGGCTTTGAGTCTTGATTCTAACTATCTGGGAAAACTTGGGTGAAGTGGGTCATCTCACCTGGCCTCAGTTTGCCCCTCTATAAAATGGGGATAAGAATACTTTTGTCCCCAGAACTTTGTATAATGTCTGGGACACAGCAAGCACTGATTCATTGATTGGATGGATGGATGGATGGATGGATGGATGGATGGATTACTTGCATCATCTACCACACAGAATTATTTCAAGGAAGGCATTTTATAAACCTTAAAAGGCTGCATCCTTATGAGTTATTATCCATCCCCTGGTTGAATTTTTGCCCATCCTTTAAAGCTCAAATCAAGAGCACCTCCTCGGTGAAGCATTTCTTGATTCCTACCAATGGTTATGACCCCAGGCCAAACACAGTATTCAGTTCTGAACCTCTCTTAATGAGCTTAGCCTGCAACATGCTGTGCATTATAGGTACACGAGTGTTAATTTCCCTACTTGGCTAGGAGCTCCATGTATATTCTCACATCTAGCTCAGTGTTCTAGCTCTGTTCAGGAGCAGTTAATAAATGTTTGATGACTGCAAGTGTCTTCACTAAAGGGAACTGAGGCAGAAGGAAAGGGGCCAAAATGGTCATTGAGGAGAGTAGCTGGAGAAAGGCCGGGCAGGTGCTTGGGGCATGTCCCTTCTCAGCCAGAGTCAGACAGGCAGTCTCTTCATGGACATGCATGCTGAGAAAGCAGGCTCACCGGACCATAGGAAAGCAAAGCCCTTGATGCTCACGGTGACCCTGGAGGGGTCTGAAAGGCAGCCTGGCATGGCAGGGCGAGGCAGGGGGAAGCCATGAGTGTGGAGTCTGCAGACCTGCGTCTGCATCCCAGAGCTACCACTTGGAAACCAAGTCCCTTCATGAAGTCTCTGATCCTCAGTTTACTCATCTGGAAAATAGGGATAATTGTCTTCTCTTGGCCTACCATCACCTGTCAGACGTACACTAGTACATCCTGGTAAACATTAACAAAACATCATCATGGCCACAGAGGAGGACCGTACAAGGTCAGAGGTGATGGCGGCAAAGGAGAGATTCAGGCAAAGTGCTCAGGGGGGGCAGGGGTGCCTTCTAGGCATGGAGGATGGCCTGATGAATGGGGGAAAGGAGAAGGAGGACTAGACTAAGGAGAAGCCAACAATCTGGTTTGGCTCAAAGGTGGATAAATAGGTCATTAACAGCAATAGCACCTTAAGGTGTGCAAAACATTTTTTGCTATCTCATTTGACCTTCACAATGACCTTTTAAAGTTATTGTTATTCCCATTTCACAGATGAGGAAGCAGAAAGGTAAGCCATTTGCCCAAGATCACATAACTGAGGCTGGATTTGAATTCAGGTCTTCCTAACTCCAAGTAGGTCAAACCCAGACTGTGGAAGGTCCCCCAGATTCCTGGAATATAATTTAGCTGTTGTACTTATGCTATCATAGAACCATGTACTTAGAAATGGAAGGAACCTTAGAAGCCATTAAGTCTAAATGCCTCATTTCACAGATGAGGAAATGGGCTCAGAGACATCTAGTGATTTGTCCAAGGTCACCCAGCTAGTAAGTATCTGAAATAGAGGTTGAATCTAGGTCTTTCAAGTTTAATGTTCTATCTACTTACTACAAGGTAAGGAAAAGATAGTACCCCTAATAATTGGGAGAAATGATGGAACCAAGGGCCAGGGTTTTTTAATGGGAGAAATTTCTCTCTTCTCTCTTCTCTCCCTTACCAAAAAAAAAACCAAAACACCACCAGTACCAACCACCCTGTGCCCCTAAGTAGTGGTAGTAAAGAGAAAAGCTGGATTCTTCAGAGAAAAGGATACATCTGGTACTATAACCCTATTGGAGGGAGACAGAGAGAGACAGAGACAGAGAAAGAGAGAGACAGAGGGGGCGAGAGAGAGAGAGAGACAGAGAGAGAGAGACAGAGAGAGAGAGAGAGAGAGAGAGAGAGAGAGAGAGAGAGAGAGAGAGAGAGAGAGAGAGAGAGAGTAGCCCTGGGGATCCAGAGCCTTCAACTCAAGTGGGTAAAGAGAGCACCCCCTCAATCCAATCTCAAACCTAGTCTCAAAGCTAGCTAAAACACCTTCCCCCTCATGCCTAGCTACTTGACATTCAAGAGATTTTCTCTTCTGACGTCTGAAGAGCTGAAAGATGTCACTGATGGCTCTGATTCAAGGGCTGAAAATACCAAGGTATCGAGCTGGAGAATCAACCACCTAGGGCAGTCTTCATTAAGAAAAATCAATCCAGTGTGCACAAGGTGACGTTACTTAGCCTGGCTAAGGGAGATGATATTTGAAAACTCCAAAGATAAATTTCAGAAAGGAAAAACAGAGGAAAGGATTTAGTAAGCAAGACAGAGTCCCTGGCTGAGCCAAGTTGGGGGTTAAGCCTGCTCCCATCTTGGCTCTCAGCTGTGCTTTACCAATGGTGAAGACTGATCCCCTCCCCTGGTCAAACCACCCACCATTCACTCATCCCCTCAACAACATTTACTAAGCCCCCACAATGGCAAGCCTCTGTTCTAGGTACTGAGTGGGGAAGGGGATGAGGGTGAGCAAGACTCATTCCCTCCAAAGAGAAATAATGCTGCATTTCCTTGCCTTATTGACAGAAGCTATAGTTATGGGACCAGAGTTAGGGAATACATCATACAATCTGAAATTTGTTTAATGCCTTGGTTAATTTTTGTTTTTGCTTATAAGGGATGGCTTTCCAGGAAGAGGAAGGGAGAATATTGGAAAATAATGATGAAGCAAAAACAAAAGATGTCAATGATTTTAAAGACTCAATCCTTGACCTAAAATATCCAAGGTATTAGGCAATAGGGTTCCATCGAAATCAATCAATACATATTTACTAGCAATTCAGAAGACAGAGTAAAGCAGCAAAGAAGAAAGAAACCCAGGCCCTTACCAACAACACCACCACAGGTGGGAGGAAGGTAGATAGGTAAGAGACAGGGAGGGTTAAGTTGAATGCCCATTGATTGGGTTGGAAGGGTAGATAAAGCTAGGTTTGGGAAGTGCTATAGAGATGGATTTAAAGAGACACTCACCCAAGCTGTAAGTCAAGATGAGAATACTAGTAGGGAAGGTTAGCAATGGGGCACAGAGGCATAGCCCAGTGAAAAGGTAGCCATGATGAAATTATTTCTACAAGAGTGGGCCTCACTGAGTCTCTAGGTTGGTTGGGGGATGTTAAGGGCCTTTGAACAAGGTAATTTCAAAAGATTTGACAGCCACCATCTCAACTCAGGCCTTCATTTCCTGTCTCCCAGACTCCTTCAATCCATCAATCACACAGTAAGCCTTTATTAAGTACCTACTATATGCCAGGTACTGTGCTATATGCTGGAGATATAAGGACAATGATGAAATAGTCCCTCCCTGCCTTCAGGAAGCTTACATTCTATCGAGGCAATATATGAAATGCCATGAGAGAAGGGGACACACACGGTGCTACTTGGGTTCTGCTACTGGCCCTTCACACCAAAACAGTCACAGTAACTCTCTTTGTAGTAGCAAAGAGCTGGAAACAAAGCCAATGCCCACTGACTAGGGAAGGGCTGAACAAACTGTGATACACAGGTGTGATAAAATACTACTGTACTATATGAAATGATAATGAAGAACCCGGAGAAATATAGAAAGATAATATGCATAATGACACGACAGCATAATGGAAGGAAACTGAACTCTGATCAGTTGTAATGACCAAGATTGTCTTTGGAAAAGAGATGGGAAAATGTATCTCCCTCCCTTCTTTAGGTAGGTGAAAAAGCCTGGGGATGGAATACAGTCACTCTGTTAGACTCAGCTCAATTTTTTTTTGAGCTAAGTTTTTTGCTTGACTATTTTTTTCCTTTTTTTTTTAATATTCTTTGTCACAAGGCATGATCCTCTGAGTAAGAAAAGGGTATGGGGAGGAAATTGTATACTTAAAAATGAAAGTGATATAAAAACAAAACTAAAACTAAAATTTTTGTCCAAAAGGAGCATGAGTTTGGCGGCTTGTATAGACTGGTTTGGAAGGGGGACACTGGGGACAGGGATGCTGGCTCCTTCTCTTGACTATCCAGCCCTCATCTTTTCTCATACTGGCTCCAGGCAGCTTTGCCTGGTGGGGTCACTGACCAGGGGACCCTGATAGGAAGGAGCCGCAGAGCATATGGTGAATACATCTCTGAGAGGCAAGAAATCAACCCCCCTCAAGAGCAAGCTACCCCAGGGGCCTCACTCCCCAGACGCAGCTAACTGGGAGGCTAACACCCAGGACAGAGGAAGAAAGGACAAACCTTCTGGGCCTCAGTGAACATGGATCAGATTACTAAAATGTCCAGAATCTCAGAATGTCAGATCTAGGAAGTAACTAGATCAAACCTCTCCTTTGAGCATTGAGGAAGCAGAACCAGAGAAGGGCTAGGACTTGCTTGGTATCAGAACAGGAGCTAATATTAGCTGATATTTACCCAGAGCTTTAAGGCTTGCAAGGTATTTCATGAACATTGTCTCATGTGATTTTTCACAACAACCCTATGACTCAGGTGTTAGTATCATCCTCATTTTATAGATAAGAAAACTGAGGCTGGGGGCAAGTCAAGTTATACACCCAGAGTCAAGTAGGTTGTAAGTGTATGAGTCAGAATCTGAACTCGGGTCTTCACAATTCCCCATCCACTCCCTCTCCCTGGGGCCTCCAGCTAGACCTCAGACCTGCTAAGTCCCAGTTTAAAAGCCCTACTGTATATAGGAAGAGGTTTTTGTTGTTGTTTTCTTTCATCCTCAAAGAGGACCACGACACCAGGACTTGAAAGTGAATTGGATTTAAGTGAGGCAGGGCTGGGCAAAGTTGCCAGCCTCACTTTCTCCTTCTGAGTCATCTGGGTCCAGTGATAAGATATAGATCAGGATGACTGGAGATGGCTCTGGATGCAGTGGGAGACCTTGGCCTTTTTAAGCTAAGGTCTTTCCTAGGTTTCAGTTTGTCCCAAGCAAAGCCCATTCAGTGATTAAGATTAGATGAGAAATGAGGCAGAGAATGGACTTCTTAACCTAGTCCAAAAGAAAAAATCAGTCTGGGAGGGGTGCATAGGATTAGAAGGAACTTAAAGGCCATCCAGTCAAACTCTTGAATTTTCCAGGTGAGGGATGCTGGGTAGAGGACCAGCCCAAGTTGCAGCCTCTGAGTAGCAGGGGAGACTGGGGACTCACCAGACACGCCACGAGCACTGAGTCACTATTGTTCCTCGCAGCTGGGACCCAGCAAAGTTCCGTGAGACGTGGCATGCCTGCAATCACAAGACACCTGTGAAGCCCAAAACCTGCTCTCCCGCTGACGTCTCGAACTCCTCCAGAAGGAGTCGGGCTCTCCGCGGGACTCTGTGGATGGGGGAGCCAGTCTGGTAAATGAGCAGTGGTCAGCCCCACGCCCTAAGCTGTAATTGTCCCCCGTCCCCCCCCCAGAACCTCCAACCAGGTTCATATACAATCATGGACCCATACCCCTACAGTGTCAAAGATGGAAGAAGGTACCTTAGAAATCATCTAATTTTGTACTGTGTTGTGGAAATGCTTGTTTTATTCCACAAATTAAAAAGAAAATAAGTTTTAAATTTTAAAATAGAAGAAACCATGTCATCCATGGGGTTCTTCATAAGGGATAAACAAGCCTGTTTTTGGAGTATTTTTAATATTTGGATAATTGCATTTCACATATAATTGATTTCTTTTGTAATCGTAGGTATTTTATTTTATGCATTGAAAACATGATTCTGAGAAGGGGACCATAGGCTTCATGAGACGCTGCCAAAGGGGCCCCATGACCCAAAAAGGTTAAGGTCCTGGATCCAGTCCAACCTTCCTCGTTTGACAGTTGACTAGACTCGGGGTCAAATAAGCCAGATTCTTCTCCCAAGCTTGGCCGATGACCTTTCTGGTGACTTCCATCAAGTCACTTCCTCCCCCACATGTCACTTTCCTCAGCTATCAAGGGAAGGGGTTAGAACAGCTGATCTCTGAGGGCCCTTAGTCCTATGACAGATGACAAAACAAACATTTAGAGAGAGGAAAGGAGCTTTCCTATGGCCACATAACTATGAGACTGACTTGAGATTCAAACCCAAATCTTCTGACTAATGATATTAATAATAATTATTATTATTATCATTATTATAGCTAACATCTATATAGCACTTACCATGTTCCCAGGCACTGTGTTAAACACTTTACAAATATCATCACATTTAATCCTCACAACAACCTTGGAAAGTAGGTGCTATTATTATCCCCATTTTGCAAATGAAGAAACTGAGGCAAACAGAGGTTAAGTGACTTACCCAGGGTCATACAGCTAACAAGCATCTGAGCCTGGATTAGAGCACAGATCTTCCTAACTCCAGACCTGGAGATTTATCCACTGTACCACCTACCTGTCCAAATGACTACTTACTTACAAAGTCAATGCTGTTTCCCCTATGTCCACTAATGAAATTACAAGGAACGTAGTAGAATTGTAAACTCTTAGATGGATACTTAGGGATCATCCACTCCAACCCTTGCATTTTACAGATCGGGGATACTGAGGCCCAGAAATGAGAAGAGATTCACCCAAGGTCACACAGCAAGCAAGTAACAAAGGAAGGAGCAGAACCCAGGCCTCCAGCTCGCAGCCCAGGAATCCTTCTTCCTCTCTACCACATTATCTGCTAGTCCTTGAGTGCACAAGGACACTTTTTCCCGTAAACATACAGTGCTCTGTACGTAGTAAATGGTTGTTGGGTGGATGAGATGGATGAGATGGACAAATGTTGAACAGTCAACAATTAGTCACTGTGTCTTTCAATTCACGGGGACGCCGGCCACCTCCCACTCCTTCCACTGGAAAGAGAAGTCACACCCAAGTAAGAGTTTGATGAAAATCCAAACCCTGTATGTGAGATGCCATTTCCTGGTTAAACTTGCAGCAGGAGGGGTGGAGGTTAGCTCTGAGAAAGGACTTTCTAACACAAACATCAATCCGTTAACCTAAGCTATTTATGGAAAATCAGGAATTTGAGGAGGGGAGTGCAGGGAAGGAGTGATGCTCTGCTTTGCTGTGATTCTGCCTATAGGCAGAATACCTCGGAGCTTTACTCAGGCTGGCAAAGAAGCCGCTTTGGAAGGGAAAGATTCTTAACACATAACCCCAAGGACTGAGCCTCAAGTCATTATAGAATGTGGAAATTTTGTAGGATAAAATAGAGATGGTCAATGTAGTGGCTAGGTGGTGCGGGATAGAGTCACAGGCCTGGAGTCAGGAAGACTCATCTTCCTGAGTTCAAATCTGGCCTCAGACACTTACTAGCTGTGTGACCTCAGGCAAGTCACTTTTCCTTATTTGCCTCAGTTTCTTCATCTGTCAAATGAGCTGGAGAAGGAAAAGGCAATACACTCTAGGATCTTTGCCAAGAAGACCCCAAATGGGGTCACAAATAGTCAGACACAGCTGAAAAATGACTGAACAGCGAAGCATGGTATAGTGTGAAAAGCTTGGATTTGGGCATCCGGAGACCTGGGTCCTGATGCCAAGCTTGTCACTAGCTCATTATATGACTTCCTCTCTTTGGGCCATAGTAGCACCATTTATAAAATGAGAAGGCTAGTTCTACATTCTTCCAGTTCTAAGATTCTAGGATCCTGTAATCATTAGTCCCTGCCACTAGGGCTAGTCCAGGACCAGACCCCTAAGAGGACAAACTGTGTGACTGAGGCCATAAGCATCCCCCATCCCAGCCTTGAAAGGAAAAACACCAAAATCTTTCCTCTCTATAGCCTCAGACTTCTAGAACTTTTCACCTTTGAACCACCCACCCAGCCGACTCACAGACATGCAGCTTACAAACCCCCCAACTTACACCCAAGCCGTATGGCTTCTCGGGCCACCTCTGGGTCCCGGCTGAGGCGAGTGAGCGTCACGGCGGCTTTCTGCTGGACTCTCTCGCAGGCAGCCACCTCAGCTGGGCTCCCGGACAGCGGCTTCTCAGACAGCATCCCCATGAGGAGCCGCAGCCCTAGGACAGAAGCAGGGACAGAGTTGAGACAGAGGCCAGGAGCCAACCCTTTTGTGCAAGACGAGGTCAAATGGAACCACTGTTCATTCCTTTCTCATCAGAAACCAGCTAGTTGCATCTGGTCACATCTCTTGACAAGGACCACGGGTGGGGAGAACCAGGCTCCTTTCTAGGAAAAACAACATGTCTTCCTCTTGGGTACAATAGAAAAAGCCCTGCCTTGAATAAGAGCTACTGCCTGGGCATAATCTCCTCAGGCCTCAGTTTCCTCTTCTGTAAAATAAATGGATTGAACAAGATGGACTCCAAGGTCCCTTCCAAAGCTGTGATCCTTATTTTCCCTCTTCCACTCAACCTTTGCCTCCATGGGTCCCTCAACCAAAAGAACAAATCTTCCACATCCTTTTAGGATCAGGTCAAATGTCACCTCCTCCATGATCTCCCATGCATAGGCATCACCCCTTTCTCTGACTTCCTACAACACTGTAGAACCATAGGATTTAGAAATGTCAAGGCTTTTAGGAACAATTTAGCCCAACTCCCTCTTCCCATTTTACAGATGAGGATATTAAGTCTAGAGAGAGAAAGGAGCTCGGCTAAGGGTACGGGGGCAGGGGGGTGGCCACAGGAAAGCTGCGGCCAGAGCTCCCACCTCCCAGTTCATTTCTCCTCAGGCTGTTCCTTCTGTCACCTACCAGCTTGCATTCTCACCCATCTATTTCAGGTGTGTGAGTCATACCTTCCTAATGAGATTACCAAAGCTCTTTGAGAGTACTAAGCAGGTCTCTTGCTCCTCTTCATCTCCCACAGCACGGGCAAACCCAGAGCACTTCCTGTGTGCTGGCTGCCTGATTCAATTAAGTAAGCTTTATTGAGGGCTGCTCTCGCCTTGTCCTCATTTGAGAGAGCACAGGCTGACGGAGAGATCCCTAGGCTAGGAACTGGGGAGCCCTGACACCAACTGGGGTAACCTCTGGGCAGATACAGCCACTGGGCTGGGGGATAGGCTTCCAAACCTGCCTCAGACACTAACTAGCTCCTGGGCCTGTATCCAAATGCCTGATTGCAGAGGAGACACTACAAATTGGCAGTTATACCCAGGTGCAAAGGTCATCTCTCTGGGGTAGTGTGGCAGGGACTGCCGGAGTTCTTCTGCTCCCCATACCCTCAGGGTAGTATTACCCCCAATTCTAAGAAACTAAAGGAAGAGCTCTCATGTGCCAAGAGCCCAGTGACCTACTCAAGCTATGGTGATGTTGGGACTGACAGTCAAGGCTAAAGTGTCTCGGCTGCGGAAAAAAAAAAAACTTCCTAACTGATCTAAAATAGAATGGGGCTGACTTTGTAGAGAGTGATCTCCCTATTACTGGAGGTATTCCAGCAGGCGCTAGATGTATTCAAGCAGAAGGATACTTCTACACTTAGGCATTCCTCCCTTACCAAGAGACTAGGTAGAAGAGGATTTGTGGGGGCACATGCAGCACTGGGCTAGCAAATTCAGCCTAGAGGTATTGGAGCAGAGGCTGACCACTCGGTGGGGACATTACAGAGGGGGATGGCTGCTGAAGTAGGGACTGGACTAGGCACCATCTGAGGTCCCTTCCTGGGCTGGAATCCCATGATCCTACATTAGTTTGAGACATTGTTCTAATGGACCATCCTCCATAATACTCACTCTCCAGTGCTGAGGATGGAAAAGGGGAGTTTGCAGAAGAAAGTCAGGTGAGCAGGGCTTGGGGTACTAATCCCCCTGCCCAAAAGCAGCCATCCCTCCATCTCTCCAAGAATCTTAGCCTTACAGCTAGGAGGAACCTTTAATGACATCAACCCCCTCATTTTATAGATGAGGAAATTGTGACCCTCCCCCTCCACAATTGACTTGCCTGGGAACACACAGCTAGTGTCCTCCTGGACATTTCCAATCCATCACTGCCTAGACTCTGGCCATCCTCCCACCCCTGGGACCTAGGGCTCTGAGAGGTGAGCTTTCAGCTTACCTTGATCAAAACCAGGCCACCTTATCCCTTCCTGACCATCTCCCTGCCATGCTGCCCAATGTGGAACCCCCCTCCAACTCCTCTTTATATATCGATGTCCTCCTTAGGCTTTGAAAACAAGAGGCTGCCTTGCATGCTTATAGTCACATCCACAGCTCTTAGCAGGGCCCCTTTGTTATCCTCTGTATTGGATTTTATACATTTTAAGACATTATTCAGAGGAAGGGAGTCATGGGCTTCCCCAGACTGCCAAAGGCAGCTCTGGTTTTATCAGACTGCCCAAGGTGTCCTTAACACACACACACACACACACACACACACACACACACACACATATATTTTAAGAACCCCTGGTCTAGTCCATCTCTTCACCATACAGATGAGAAAAATGAGGCCTATGGAATGACTTGGCCACAGTCACAGAAGAAGTAAGCAGCAGTGTCTGGATTTGAAACCACTCCCTCTGACTCCAAATCCAGTTTCTTCAGCTGCTTCACTTGTTCCCCAGCTTATCAACCTTATTTCCTGCCCATTCACATAGTCTATGCAGCTTAATGAGGTCCTGATGGAATACAACAGGATGGGAATGATTTACAAGTGATCAAGGAGGCCCTTGTTGGGCTCAGAGCCACGAGATTCTAGAGCTGGAATGGAACTCCAGAGGTCCATCTGGACCAGCCCTTCACCTTCAAACGGTCAAATGTGCAGCCATCAAGGGCAGATAGTTATTTATTGTCTCCTCGAAGGGACTCTTGGCTGCTCGGTGGCACAGTGTATAACATGCCAGACCTGGAGACGGGAAGACTCATCTTCCTGAGCTCAAATCTGGCCTCAGACACTTACTAGCTGTGTGACCTTGAGCAAGTCATTTAACCTTCTTTGCCTCAGTTTCCTCATCTGTAAAATGAGCTGAAGAAGGAAATGCAAACCACTCTAATATCTCTGCCAAGAAAACCCCAAATGGGGTCGTAAAGAGTCAGACATGACTGAAAATGACTGAACAGCAAGGGAAGGGATTCTGAGTGCCCCCTCCTTCTTTCATCTCTTTTGGATGATCTAAACCTGAAGCTTTAGGCCTTTTTTGTCATGGATCCCTTCGGCAGTCTGGGGAAAGCCTACTATCCCCTGAACTTTTTGAGTTACCATATTTGCCAGAAACACTGTCAAGGACGAAGCTCCCCTTCAGCTGACATAATTTATTGTTGCACCCCAAGCTGGACTCCCTGTGTGTCCTTGGGAGGCAAGGCAGGTGCCAGCCAGTCTGTGCCAGGCTGGGACAAACCCTTTCTTAAAATAATGTTTTTAAGTGTACATAATAAAATACATAGGATTACAAAAGAAAACCAATTCTAGTGAAATACACTTACAAATTTTTAAAAAACACGTTTAAGGAACCCAGGTTAAGAACCCCATTAAAGGCCTTGGTCACTGTCTATTGAATCCCAGAATGGGAGAACCCAGCTAGTAAATGTCTGAGGCTGAATTTGAACTCAGTTCTTCCTGGCTCCCAGCTAAGTCCTCTATCCACTGCTCCTCCTAGCTGCCCCTATAATAAAATGCATAGGATTACAAAAGCAACTAATTCTAGTGAAATACACTTATCAGAATATTTTTTTTAAAAAACCAAGTTTATGGACCCCTTGCTAAAGGCCTTCTTCACTATCTATTGCATCCCAAAATATGAATTAATACTAAAGGGATCATCTGCCCCACATTCCCCATGTGTGGATCCTGGCTCGAATTCTTGGGAAATTTTGCCATCAGGGAATCAGCTCAAACAAATGGGGGAATATTTCCAGTGACAGGTCACTCACTACCTCTTGAGCACCTCAGATTGTTTGGAAGGTCTTGGTTATATCGAGCTGAAAGGTGCCCCTTCATAATCTGAAAAATAATTGTAATCTCTCTTCTGTGTGAACACCCTTCAGATATGTGAAGTGACGCATCTCTTTCCCCCAGTTCTTTCAACCAAGCCTTGGCTGTGGCATGATTTCCAGTCCTCTTCCCATCATGGCCATCCCCCTGTGTACATTCACTGGGTTCACAGATTCCAGATGTGGTCTGACCTAAGCAGTGAAGAGTGGTACAACCATTCCAGATACTCCTGCTCCAGATACAAAGCTGATCATGTTTGGACTAATGTTTTCAGAAATTGCTTGGACTTAAAATATCAATATGGGTCCTGTCTCCTCCAAGCTACTGATTTACCTTTCAAATCCTGACTTCTTTTTAGCCCTGGCTCCACAGATACCTCTCTGAGCCCAGCCGTCATCCCTGAGGGGGAAGGCTTCATACAGGTGTCCTTACCTTCCCAGCCCTCAGCCCAGAGCCCAGATGCCTACCAACCTCTCCCCCTCATTCTGGCCATAGTCAGACGTAGAAAATACATACCGTCCTCCTGTATAATATCTGAGGCACACTGTTCCAGGACAGACATGTTTGCCAATATTGTCACAATCTGGAAGAAAGAACATTGGCTCAGAAAGGGAATCACAGAATGCCAAAGTCCTTCCCATTTTGGATGAAAGAAAGATTCTTTCATCTAATATACGGCCATGTGTTCACCACTTGCTCAGGCATTTAAACAAAAATGTTTCCTTCAATCAAAGTGGGATTCCATCATATCACAGGGTTTCCATGATGATAGGTTTCCATTTATTAGGTCCAGTTAATAGGTTTCCATTAAGAAGGAGGTACAATTCTATAAGGCCTATGGTACAATGAAAAGAGGTCCCTTAGCCAATGACTACTGGAGTCCCATAACCTCTGCCTTGGGACAATGGGAAGGGTTCATTCATAAGATGGTATCAGGGATACAAGCAGCTGTCACTGCCTTCTAACACAATGACATCACTACCTAGTCCTTGGATGCTTCCTGTGCCTAAGACCTCAGGCAGCTCGCAGCACAGCCCAATGCTCAAAACCTTCCCAAGGAAACACCCAAGACGTCGTACACAAGCAGACACATACACAGAAAGCTGCACCCATTCCCCATTTCCCTAGAGTAAAGCTACATGCAATGCTCTCATTGGGAACAGGGGGAGAAGGGATCACTGTTCTGGAGTCTGCTTTGAGAACCAGACCTGAAGAAGAATAATGAAAAGTATGAGTTAAGCCCTGGAGGTGTCCCAGAGGGTTATGGTAGTCCAAAGGGTGCCCCCAGCCCCAAGGGCCTTGTTCTTTCCCACCACCGTGTTTGAGAAAGTTTGTTGTCTTCATTCCTGGAATATCTTCCCTTCCTCTTTCTTCACCAACTGTGTTCCTATCAAATCTTTAAAGGCCAAGTTGAATGCACCACCTACAGGAAGCCCTCTCTGATCTCATCATCTTCACTCTCAGACCTCACAGCCTGCATTTATTGTTACCTGGGTTTGTGTCCTATCCCTGCCCTAGAGTCCAATCTCCTTGGTGGAGTGGATAGAACACCCGGCCTTGTTGTTAAGTCATTTCAGTTGTATCTGACTCTCCGTGGCCCCATTTGGGGTTGTCTTGGCAGAAATACTGGAGTGGTTTGCTATTTCTTTCTCCAACTCATTTTACAGTTGAGGAAACTGAGGCAAACAGGGCCAAGTGCCTTGCCCAGGGTCACAGAGCTAGTAAGTATCTGAAGCCGAATTTGAACTCAGGTCTTTCTGACTCCAGGCCTGGCACTCTATCAACTTCACCACCTAGTTTCCCTGAGTTCAAATCTAGCCTCAGATACTTAGTAAGTGGGTAACCCTGGACAAGTCATTTAACCCATTTTCCTCAGTTACCTGAACTGTAAAATAGGGTTACTAATAGGATTGCCTCCCAAGGTTGTTGTAATGATCAAATGAGATAATCTTTGTAAAACACCTGACATAGTAGGTACTATATAAATGTTAGCTAGGAGGAGAAGGAGGAGTGGTGCTGGTGCTGGTGCTGGTGCTGGTGCTGGTGCTGGTGGTGGTGGTGGTGGTGGTGGTGGTGGTAATGGTGGTGGTGGCCGTAGTAGTAAATAGGAAGTTTGTTTTTTTCTTATAATGACCTCAAATCTGTCTCATACAACTTCTCCTTATCATTATCATTATCAACAAAATCTTTAAATTTAAAATGTTGATACTAGTAACAAATAGCATTTATTCAGTGCTTTCCATATGATATCTTATTTAATCCTCACAACAACCCTAGCACATAGATACTATGATTCTCCCCATTTTACAGATGAGAAAACTCAGTCTGAGAGGGGTGAAGTGACACTCTGGGTCATACAGCTGAGTGTCTGAGGCAGGATTTGAACTCAGGTCTTCCTGATTCCAAGTCCAGTGCTCTTATGTACTATACCACCTGTCTGCCTTTAGGTAGTGATTAGTTCTGCCCTCTGGAGCCAAGCGGAACAATTCAAACCCTTCTTCCCCAAGATATATAAGGGTGTCCGCAAAGTCTTAGCGCAGTTTGAAGTCTTAATATCTTAAATAGCTATCATATCATCATTATTGTTATTGTTATAGCTTAAGTAACTATTAAAGTTTAAAACTGCACTATCAAATACTTGAAGACACCATATCCGCAATCTCTTCTGCTCTTGCTCCTACTTCTACCTGTGACCCTGACTTCTACCCCCACCTCACTGTCCACCATTCCAGACTGCGCTACAGACAGTTACCTCACCTGCCTCATCAGAACACCTGCAGACACCACGTTTTCAACCAAACCAGCTTTACTTGTGATTAGACCCTTAGATATTTCAATCCATTTGCAGACTATCGGAGAAGGAACAGAGACTAGAAAAATATCAAGCCATCCCCTCTGGTAAACAACACCTGTTCCCAAGGCCCATTCATTTGGCTCTCACTAAGTGGTTAAGAAAGACAAGGTGACTCATTTCCCCAGCCTACTCACTGTACATAAGCCCTCTTCTACGTGAGCCAAAGTCCTTTGCCATACAAACTAAATGAGTGAGCAGTAGACAGTGATGGATTCTTTCAAAATGGAAACTTCCTTTACAATTCCATTTTCCATTAAGTGGTGGGTGTTGTCAGCACCCACTGCAGAATTTGTCAGATTGAATTAGATCCTGTTAATGAAAATCACTTCCCTTTCACAGAGACCGTGTCCCATGAGGTTTTCTCAGGTCCAGGTGGAAAATCCAGTTCCTCACAATCTGAATAACTGAACATCCTTTCCCTGCTTTGATTTTGGTTTTCAAATTCCCAGTTTTATTTTTCTACCTTGGAAACCCTTCTTCAGCTTGCAACAGGGACATTAGGAATCCACCATCCTTGACCCATCTCTGAGACAGTTTTGACTTTCCCCTGCGGACTGGGAAGGACCGAGCAGAAAAGAGATGGTCTGGAAGCAAAGATAAGGAAGAGGACAGGGAGAGAGGGAAGGCATCACAGTCCTCTGCTGATAATGGACGTACACTGAGACTCAGACTCCTTGCTGTCTACTTGCCCAGATCAGGTGCTAAATAAATCCTTGCTGGTTGACACATTAATTGATCTTGAGAGGTGGAGGTCAACGCAACTCCATATGTTGTTGTCAGACCCTCAGCAACCTATCCTTCTGACCCATCAGCACTGCTCACAGCCTGTTTGCTCAGCTGGCTCTTGGGGCATGCAGAAGAACAGGTGTAAGCAGACAGCAATGGGAAACGGAGTGGTCAGATGGAAAATGTCCCAGCAAACAATTCCTGACAGCCCAGAGCTTTGCTGAACCCTGACCCTAGCCATGTCCTCCTACATAGAGAATTGGTTTTGTTTTGGTTTTTTGGTTTGTTTGTTTATTTTCTTTGCTAGACAATGGTGTTAAGTGACTTGCCCAGGGTCACACAGCTAGTAAGTGTCAAGTGTCTGAGGCCAGATCTGAATTCAGGTCCTCCTGACCCTAGGGTCACTGTGCCTTCTAGCTGTACATAGAGAATTTTGACCTGGCTTGTGGAATGCTGAATGAAATAGAAAAATCACTGAATCGGGCAACTAGACTAGAGATCTGGATTCTAATATGGGTTCTGCCACTAAATTGCTCCATGTCTCAGGCAAGTTCCTTCCCCTGTGTGGACCTCAGTTTCCTCTCTTTCACAAGGAGAGAGTTGGACTGGCAGGACTTCCAGATCCCCTTCTGGTCCTTATGGTCTGTGACTCCTATGATTCATTGAGTTTAGAACTGGCAGGAACCTAATCCTCACTCCTTGTTTGACAAAGAGTGAAACAGGTCCAGAGAGTTTAAAACAACTTGTCTGAGGTGTAATCATTGGTAGGCAGCAAAGCTGGGATTCAGCCTGACTTTTCCCACCATTCCCTGCCCCTGCCCCTGAACATACACACCTCACAGGCATTAGATCTGGCCAGACACGAGCTTTGGTTTTGGCTCCTCATTATCTTCTTTGCCCTTTCCCACCGAGGATCCAGACAGCCTTTTAGCCTGGGATCCTGGCTTGCCTGAAGCCTTCCTTCAGTGACAGTCATGTTCATTCACAGAGCCAGAGCCACCATGAGAACCTGAGTGGTAAGCTTAGCCAGCCAAGGGAACTGACCTTGAAGCTGACATGTGTTTAATGGCCGAAGTGATTGTTATCAGATCAGCCGGTCACTAGGCACCCTGTAGCAAATAGCTTTACCAGGGATGATTTTAAGGAGACTGAAGCCATTTTTCAAGTGTTTATTCTTCTTTGTTAGTTCTCCTACATCTAGAGTCAGCATCAACAGCCTTCAGTACCGGGGAGTCGTATTTAAACTTCATTATCACCAGCGGCGTAGCTATCGACAGTTATATCGCACATTAAGGTTTGCAAAGCATTTCCCATTTATCTCCTCTGAGCCTTAAAACAGCCCTGGGAAGTAGATGTTATTTTTTCCCCATTTTATAGATGAAAAAACTGAAGCAAACTGAGGTTATGTGACTTCTCCGAGGTCACACAGCTAATAAGCAACTTAGGCAGGTTTGAAACTGGGGTTTCCTGATTTTATTTACCTCCTAGCTGCCATCTAGCATACTATGGAGAAGAGCTCTGAGCTGGGAATCCTGGGACCTGGCTTCTAATTCAGACTCATTATGTGTGCTTGTTCAGGGGCAGGGGAGTGGGATTCCTTGAGACAAGGTCTAGTTTGAAACACATACAGAGAGAGACAGACAGACAGAGAGTGAGAGACAGAGAGAGAAACAGACAGACAGACAGAGACAGAGAAACAGAGAGTCACAGGGTTGAGCCCCAGTGGGGTAGAACAGGATCAGGAGGACATCTTTAGAGAATCCCTTCAGACTGAAGACAGGGAAGACACACCTAGCCCTCGGATCAAGGTCGAGGCAATAGGTACAGTAGAGTATTCAAGGGGAACAAAGTCCTACCTGCTCTCGCTCTCTCTCTCTCTCTCTCTCTCTCTCTCTCTCTCTCTCTCTCTCTCTCTCTGCCCCTTCCCACTGGAATAAAAAAAACAAAAAAACAAAAAAAACCATAAACCACCTCAGAAGAATTAACAAAATGGCAGAGCCTCT